GCAAGGATACTCATGTACCCTCCCGCGCTCTCGCCGCCGACGGCAACGTTGGTCGTGTCGATTCCCTCCTTCGCCGCGTTCTCGGTGATCCACGTCTCGATGTTGGCGAGGTTGCGGAGCAACGATAGTCCGCTCGCCTGCGGGAGAAGCGAATAGTCCGCTGAGATGACAATCCAGCCCCGGTTCAGCAGCTGGGTGGCGATACCGACGGGGATGAACACGTCGCGACTCCCGGTGGTGAGCCCGCCACCGTGGAATAGGATGAGAGTCTTGTGGCGCGAGGCAGGACAGTGGTTGGCAGGTTTGTAAACGTCGAGGGCCGTTGTGGGCGCGCTTTGGTAGGTATGGGTCTGGCAAGCGAAGGTGCTGCTGAGAATCGACATTGTTTTAGATGCGGAAGTTGGATTGCGGTGAAAGGTATTATTATACGAGCTGGTGGGATTTTAGATCGCGACGAACGGTGCTGTGATGTGCTGAAAGGATTATTTAGTGTCGATATCTACTGTGGAGAAGAGACGGTATAAATATGCAGACGGAACGATCGGTAACTTCTTTGCAACCCAGACTCCCCCACCTCATCACCCTCAGCTACCGGCCGTAAGTAAAAGTTTCCCGCATTGCGAAATTTGCTACATGGATAGTTGACCTCTATTTCCGTTGTGCCGGCGGGATGGAGGAGCTGTCAGCGAGAGGGAACGAATGTGGTTACTGTAGTCTGCAAGATGGTGGGGTCGGCCAAGTTGGGAGGCAGGTGAAGTTAAACTAGGACCCGCAGGCTCTCTTCTTCTTTCTTGATCAGCATATATCCAGTCGACGGTGACACTCCGCCTTCGCTATTTTCTGTGTCTTCGCCATTTCTCCTCACGCGTGTCTTCCTGGAGAGGCATTGACGAATGATCCCTCGCGAAATCGTGGCTAGAATTGAATTCGGCCGCGTTAATAGCGAATGAAGCCATCTCGCACTAGCCCTATCGTGTATCTCAATTGCAGCGCGCCGTGTGGTGGTGCCGCTACGGGCCATGTGGGGGGATTACGTGGGTAGCGGCAATTCTGCAACCCCGGCCGGGTCCGGCGCGGAAGATTGTACGGCTGACAAATCGAAGAAGCTGGCACGGAGAACCGCCTGGAAGGAGGCGTTTGTCGTATCTCGTAGCCGGGCAAGCAGTAAATGTGAGGAGTACGATGAGAAGGTTGCTATTCTGACTACCGCTCAGAGCGCCACCTCGTGGGCTGCTGAGGGACCCAGAAACGGGTGAGGAACAAAAACGTGATCAATTAGACTAAAGCTTTCGGTCGATGATGATGGTGATAATGAAGATAAAGAAGAAGATGAGGATGAGGACCGACCGGCGACAGGACGAGAGAATGTAGAAAAGTAGAAAAAATTCAACGTTGAGCGACTGCATCAGGTCCCACCAGGTTTCAATCAGGTCTCCTCTTGGGCGATCACCGATGACGCCAAGCCGCCTCTGCCTCCGCGCCCCGCACTCCTCTGCTCCACCAAGCCTAACCCGAATGCCGCTAGCGTTGTGCGTCTCCAGAAGTCATCTGCGCCTGCTCCTATTCTGATATCTTATCCCATCTGATCTTATCATACCACATCTCGTAACAGCAGACAACACTATCCCAGGCGTAAAGCAATCCCGTTGTCGGTGGCATATGGTTTGTCGGGAGCCGTGATCATGATCTCGTTACCCTCATTCTTGTGTGTTCCAATGGTCATTGTCGGTCCGTAGCCACGTCCGTACTCAGCGCAGCCGCGATTTCCGTTTGCGCTTCATTTGTGCAGCGACGCGACAAGGCATCACTCGTATCCACAGCCCCAGGAATCGCATGCATCCCGGTAAGTATGAGCCCGCCCTCGGAGTCGAGCACCTGTTTGGATAACGGATCTGCCAGATGACCGGCCCCGGTGGAGTATCTACCATGTCATGCAGACTTTGAGCGGCTCTTCATGCAGTACAGTGCCTGGGCCCAAGCTATTGGAGCAGACGACGCCGTGATCGGAGGTCGAGCTCGCCGTCGATACCACGGGCCCAAGCAGCGTAAGCAAACACCGATACGGGCACTATTTACAGAGCCATTATGCAGCCCTCTCATGCTTTCGGAATTGTTGCGCAATTCTAATGTTGGCAGGTTATTACCCAGCTGGCTGGATGACATTTCTTGAAATATACAGGTGGACAGATGATGATCTTCTATTCGATGCAGAAAAAAGAACCTATGGTCCACGGCGAAAACCTCTATTTGAGACTGGGGGGGCCACCTAAGGTTGGCCGCTCATCAGAGTTTGCCGGACCCACTCATCAGAGTTCACCGGGACCGCTCATCAGAATTTGCCGGGCCCGCTCGTCAGAGTTCGCCGCCGCGTAACCATATAGTCGTCGATGGTCCATCATGGTCGTCGAGACTCTTCCACCGCCAAACCTTAACTCGTCCCGAGATCTCCGGGCGAGTAAAGTTTGACAACAATATGATGGCTAGTTAGCCGTCCGAAATTCGGAGAGTGACAGGGGAACGGTCTCCGGGGGTTGAAGGCCATGATGCGTGCTGATGCTGCTGATGCTTCTGACCAGTGTTCTACATAGACCAGTCCCGACCAACTTTGGGTATGGTCTGGTCGGTCGGGATGAGTCGGGCTACGAAAGTATACACGTTGGATATTGTGATCTTTACAATCATGTAATCTACACCAGATCCTCCTGTATCGCGCGGCCAACATGTCCCCGGTTTCCTTCACATCCGCCTGAGTCGCCACAATCATCCCATCCCTCTACCAGATTTTGATACATTCTACAGCCTCTAGTACATCATCACGTGCTAATGCTTTCTCTGCTAGCACTTCTGTGGTCTGGCAGCATTTCTGCGACAATTATAGTAGCATTTCGGACGCCCAACGCTTCCAGTATTGCTGCGGTCGTCATCGACACACTCCGCATGCACAACTATGACAGAAAAATTTGCGGCTGATAAGCTCATCTGGGAAAATCTGCCGTGTGGCCTACAACACATCTATTGCGATCCTGCGTATGCGATGTTGCATGGTACTCCCAGTCCATTCAATGCAATGCACATGTTGGACGAGAGTTGAGTGAACTTGAAAAAGAGATCAACGCTCAAATTTCTTCTCTGCATATCAGTGTAGGGCATGGTTTTGGAAAGACGAGTCACGATGGAAAATTGGGGTTTCAATGGGTAAAAAGGAGACTTGAAAGCGGGATCTTCTCAGGTGGGAACATATTATGGTATATCACAGTACGTTTTTACAATATTCAGTCATGCATTCAGTGAGGAAATCAAATCAACATTCAGTTTGATTGTCCTCCACCGTCATTGGATGAGTGTCTAAATCTACATGTAGGATATCATAAATTCCTTTCATTCCTCATTCCTTTCATTGGTCAACGCCCTTGGAATTGTCATGATCGCATCTTGAATCGCTCTTTCTCCCATCGCTGCCATACCCTGCACATTGACAGCAACTTCAGTACTGCTAGCACCTGATGCCACCGCCGTACCGTGTGTCAACATTAGACGTCTGGAAGGCTCTCGAAGACTCACGAGCCCAAGGCCCACCTGATGACGCGGCGCGGACCGTGCTCGTCTCAGAAGCTGAAGAATCTGAGTATCTCCTACGTAAGAGTATTCTGCCTTGGACAAGACGAACGTGTATATAGAGCGCTCCCAGGTGGCTGATCCCAGGTCATGATACACCCGTCCAGCATCTTTGGGAGGTTCCGTCTCTGCCATTCGACTTTGTTGTATAAGGGGTCTTTGGCTCGTACTAGCTTGCATCGTTGAAATATCAGTATCTCGTGCTCGATCAAGTCCGTCGCAGGCAACTTCGTCTAAGCTGTACGGCGTGACATCACCCGGTCGCCGGTGGCGACCACCACCGGACGAAGTTCGCCAGAACCGGACTGCTGTCGGGCGACCTGAGGAGGTTGTATAACCATCCTCTTCGTCCGCCGCTACCAGCACCACTCCCGGCCTCTGGGCCGGGGTGGGCCCTAGCCCAGCTCCTCATAATCCACTTCGCCCCTGAGACCCAGGACCAACATTACATCCTGGCCTCTTTGGCAGGTCCACTGCTCTGCTGGTCGACCACAGCCGCAGCGGACACAATTCTCTGAGTCGTCTTGCGAGACACGTAAAGCGTCTCAAAAAGAGCCACGAGGGAGTCTAGTTCGTCCGCGTCAGGTGGACTCTCACATACTCCACCTTGGTCATCATCATCGTCGGAGCCGTCCTCATCGTTGGCGTCGTCCTCATCGTCAGAGCCGTCCTCATCGTCGGCGTCGTCGGAGTCGTCGGAGTCGTCACCACCCCCCCCCCCCTCCCCGCCCTCCCGCCAGTCCCGCAGAGCGCAAAGCGCTGCACGTTCACCTGGAGCAACAAAAGGAGCTCCATTCCCGGAGTCGGAGTTGTCGTTATCGCCGTCACCGCCGTCTTCCATCTCGCTGTCGAAGTCTTCGATCTTCGACTTGTAGGCCATCTTGTCGGAGCCATTGCCACCGCCGCCACCGCCGCTGCGCACCTTCCCCAAAATCTTTCTGGAAACGTTGTCCATCTCTGAAAACTTTACAATCACAAACTCGGTCTTGTGAAGTAATCCGTAAAAACATCTAGGTGTTCTGATGGTGGTACGGTCAGTACCGCACTGTGGAAGAACCTCCAGGCGTGGTAGAGTGTATGTGGGGATATGTACCGTAAACTACCTCAGAAAAAGATATCGACCGTAGTCTTATCTGACACTACCGTAGTAGGTCTACTAGGAAGTCCTGATGGTGGTTTGGTAAATACGCTTTGGCAATCATGGAAGAACTCCCAGTTGTAGCAGAGTCTATATAGATATTCACCTTAGACGACCGTAAAAGAAATTACCGACCGTAGTCGTAAAATCGGACACTACCGTAGTACGTCTCCGGGAAGTCCTGATTGGCTTGGTCAGTCACGTTCCGCAAATATGGGAGACCCACCGGGTGTAGTAGAATCGAGGTAGATATGTACCGTAGACAACCTTTTCAAAGATTCTCGACCGTAGTCGTAATCTCAGTCCCGTAGGATCTGTATAGGAAGTCCTAGTAGTGTTTCGTCAGTCGTTTTCCGCAAGCATGGGGGAGGGAGACATGTACCTTAGACGACCTTTCGAGAAAAAAAACTAACCGTGGTCAGAAAGCGCAACGGACCGTAGTCCGAAGTCGAAATGAGACTTGCTGTCGCAAGCTCTTCGTGACTTGTGCTGTGCACAAGAAAACTTGAAGGCAGGAGGAAAAGGGAAGAGGAAGAGGGAGCAGGAGGAAGAAAAGGGAGCAAGAGTAGAGTAAGAGCAAGAGCAGAAAGGGGGGTTGCGATGCAACAAAGGTGTGAAGTGCAAGAGAGGGTTGAGCAGAACGTAAACGTTGAGATCAGGAGGTCTTGAGAATTCACGAAGGAAGAAAGGGAAGAGGGGTGGAGGAAGACGGAGCTATTTATACTGTTTGGTAGGTTTGGAATATCCAAACAAACTAGCCAAAAACCGTCGGCGAACTTTCGGCCGCCACCATCACTCGGTGGCAGTATCCCGCTGAGGAGTTAGGGTTGCAAAGAAATGACGTAACTACAGGCGCTTTTGGCGGCTCCGCAACATCACGTACGTTTACGGGAGAGGGTATGCTACATGATGTACTTCCAGATATTTGCCCACACGGAAAGATATATTCCTCTAGATAGATGAAAATAGTCTCGCACCAGGCTTGTTCCTGTCGTAAATCACTAGCATCTCGTCGCGGCGACAGAAAAGTCTGGATTAAGTCCTTGTCCAAAAAAACGTTTTTTTTCGCGACACATCAGTTTTTTTTTCGTGGCAACTAAAAACACAAATGACATCCGTCAAGTAACCACCATCATCGAACCCACAACAGCGAATCCCGTACTGAGGCCACGATAGCAAATGCAGCACAGTCTCTCTGGCAGACAGCGAATCTAGTACACAGTCATGGCAGCGACTCCAGTACAGAGCCCTGGGAGCGAATGCAGGGCTGAGTTCAGGGAGAAAATGCAGTGATGAAGCCCTAACAGCGATTCCAGTATAGAGCCCTGGTAGCAAGTCTAGTATAGAGCCCTGAGAGCGAACTAGTGATGCATCTCTGGGAGTAAATGCAGTGGTGAGCTCTGGGAGCGAATGCAGTGATAAAGCACTGAGAGCGAATGCCGTAGAGAGGCAGAGATGCCATGGCAGCGAATACCACCAGTCATGAGGACCTGGCAACAAAGAACCCTCGCCGTTCGCTAACCATGATAAATTGACATGTACAGACTCGCTGAAAATGGCATTAAGTAACCAAAGAACCGTACCTTCTTCTCTCTCTCTTGCCACGATTGTGTTTTTCATTTGGTGTGGGAAATTCCTGATCACCAGCAGGCTGGGTACTATATATGTTCTATGCCATTGGGCAGATATATTGTTCTTCAGATGGGCCCGCGCATCAATAGATGGACCGGCCCGTGTATACATGGACCGGCCCCTGTATAGGTGGGTCGAATGTCACAACTGGCCGGACCATGGATCGATTTTTCCGGCATATCTCATCCTGGGCCAGACTCCCCAGCCATAGAAGTTTGCCGACGTCGGCTGGCCCAAGGATAGAATGGCATGCTGAACCCGAAACCGGCAAGTAGTATTACGGGCTCGAGATCACCATCACCACCACCACCACCACTGCTGGCTGTACGGTTACGGTACTGCTTTGGCGACTACATTCTGCAGTACCAATCCTCGTCAAACATCAATTGAATTGAATTCTCACTAACACAACAAACACTGCATTGATCTCGGATGTTACTGTACAATCTTTTCCACTTGCATGCCAACCCTCCTCTTTCTCAGAACCCATCCTTCTACTACAGCACCATCCAGTACAGTCGGTGGAATCGTTGTCTGCCGTGGTCACTTCCTGCGGCGCAGTGGTACGACTGGTCACTCAGTCAGTAGGAGGGGCGGGGTGCGTCGGAGTCCGGCTCCGAATCTCGTTTCGGCATCGTACTGATGGTTCCAAAGGCGGTTTTAATTGGGTCCCCGGTGGTGTTTTCATGTGAGGATACCGAATGAATCCAGTCGCGGTAGTCCACTCGCTTCTCCTCTGTGAACCGTGACTGCGTCGCCGTTGGTGGTAGTAATTTGTGTCCAACCTACTTTTGTTTAGAACTGACTTTACTGTTGTCGTGCGTCACGGATCCTTCAAACTGCTGAAATGTTGCTGCTGAAAACGTGGAGCTGCGACATCCGCGGCGGACATGAATTTAGCGGGCGTGTTGTAGGCTGTTGTTGGTCTGATGTCTGTGTTGTTGACGAGAATTGCTATGCCGCCTTGTCTCTCTCTCGCCGCGAAAGTGGTTGCCATTTTGCGTGGGAAAATCGTCGTGAGTCCAGTAGAGAGGGAATGGCCGCGAATCCCGTACAGAGCCATGGCAGCCAGTCCAACAGAGAGGCCATGGTAGCGAATGCAGTAGCGGCCCTTGGAGCGAATGCAGTAGAGGCCCTGGGAGCAAATGCAGTAGAGAGGCATTGGGAGCGAATCCGGTAGAGAGGCATGAGAGTGAATCCAGTAGAGAGGAATGGGAACGAATCCAGTAGAGAGTTGATGGCAGCGAATCAAACAGAGGCCTTGCAGCGAATCCAGTAAAGAGGCGTTGGAGCGAATCCAGTGGGGAGATAGAGTGGCCTTTGGGAGGGAATCCAGTAGAGAGGCATGGGAGTGAATCCAGTTGAGAGGCCTCGGAGGGAATCCTGCAGAGAGGCCTTGGAGCGAATCCATTAGATAGGCCTTGGAGCGAATCCAGTAGAGAGGTCTAGGAGTAAATGCAGTATAGAGGAAGAGAGCCCTGGGAGCGAATCGAGTAGAGGTCCCTGGCAGCGAATCCGGTAGAGAGGTCTTGGAGCGAATCCAGTAGAGAGGCCTGGGAGTGAATGCAGTATAGAGGAAGAGAGACCTGGGAGGGAATCGAGTACAGCGCCCTGGGAGCGAACGCAGTGGTCAGGCAGAGAGGCCCTGGCGACAACAAATCCTCGCCGTTCGCCAATCATGATGGATTAAGATGTATGGTGTCGCTGGCAATCAAATGTGAGTACCAAAGACACTTGCCTCACCGTCTGCCCAACGTAGTCCACTTCGTCACGACGACTCGGAGCCGACACACTATCCTGCCGTCTCTTGCGAGACACGGACAGCTTCTTGAAGCGAGCCACAAGTGACTCCATCCCGTCCTTGTCGGTTGTCCCGTCAGACACCGACCAGTGCGCGAACAGACCCACAAGTGACTCCACCCCGTCCGTGTCCTTGGGAGGAGCCGGAGCCAACACGGCATCCTGAGCTCTCTTGCCAGACACTGACAGCTTCTTGAAGCGAGTCACAAGTGACTCCATCCCGTCCTTGTCGGTTCTCTCATCAGACACCGAAAGGTTCGCAAAGAGAGCCACAAGTGACTCCATTCCGTCTGCGTCCGTGTCTTTGGCAGGTCCGGTGGCCCGAGGGCAAAGAAGTGCACTGCTCTGTTGACCAACGACAGCCGCAGCCGACACACTTCTCTTGCGAGATAGGTAAAGCTTCTCAAAACAAGCCACGAGGGACTCTAGTTCGTCGTCATCCAGTGGACTCACACTTAGCCCACTCTGGTCATCATCATGAGAGTCTTTCTCATCGTCGTCATCGTCATCATCGTCATCATCGTTCCCACCCTCCCGCCATTCCAGCAGAACACGAATCGCTGCAGGTTCGCCTGCCTCTCCGTCCTTCTTGTCGACGTCTTCGTCTTCCATGTAGAACTCGGCGTCACTGTCTTCGTCGTCACAGCTAGGAGGAGGAATCGCAGGAGGAGGAGGAATCGCATGAGCTCCATCGCCGGAGGAGGATTTGCCGCCATCGTCGCCGCCTTTAGGGTCGTCTCCTTTCTTGTCATCGGCCTTCTTGTGATCGGCCTTCTTGTCGTCGTCCTTGTCTTCGTCGTAGAAGTCAGAGTCACTGTCTTCATCGTCACAGTCAAGAGGAGGAGCAACGAAAGAAGCTCCATCCCCGGAGTCGGAATTTTCGCCATCGTCGTCGCCGTCTCTCATCTCACAGTCGGAGTTGTCCAAGTCTTCGAAAACCGACTTGTTGGCTATCCTGTTGGGGCCGTTACCCGCCGTCGACACCACCGCCGCACACCTTCGCCACAATCTTGATTGGAACGTTGTTCATATCTGACAACTTTACTTGCACAAACTCGGTCTTGTGAAGTAATCCGTAAAAATAAATCTAGGTGTCTTGATGGCGCACAGTCAGTTATTTCACGCACTACGGAAAGAGTGTATAAGGCGATATGTACCGTAAACTATCTCAGAAAAAGATATCGACCGTAGTCTTATCTGACACTACCGTAGTAAGTCTACTTTGAAGTCTTGATGGTGGTTTGGTCAGTCGGTTTTTGCAACCATGGAATAACTTTAGGGATATTCACCTTAGACGACCGAAAAAGAAATTACCGACCGTAGTCGTAAAATCGGACACTACCGTAGTACGTCTCTGGAAGTCCTGATTGTGATTTAGTCAGTCACATTCCGTAGATATAAGAGAACACCCGGGTGTTGTAAAGTGTTGGGAGGTATGTACCGTAGACAACCTCTGCAAAGATTACCCACCGTAATCGTAATCTAACAGTCCCGCAGGATCTGTAGGAAGTCCTAGTAGTGGTTTCGTCAGTCAGTTTCCACAAACAAGGGAGAACCCCATGCTGTAGTGACGTATAGAGAGATATGTACCGTAGACAACCTCTTCAATGATTTCCGACTGTAGTCGTAATCTAACAGTCCCGTAGGATCTCTAGGAAGTCCTAGTAGTAGTTTCGTCAGTCGTTTTCTGCAGGTATGGGAGAACCCCGTGGGGTAGTAAAGTAGCGTGAGATATGTACCTTAGACGACCTTTCGAAAAATATACGACCGTAGTCGTAAAGGGAGGAAGAAGAGGGAGGAGGAAGAGGGAGTAGAAAGAAAAGGGAGCAAGAGCAGAGCAAGAGCGAGAGCAAGAGCAGAAAAGGGTGGTTGCGATGCAACAAAAGTGTGAAGTGCAAGAGAGGGTTGAGCAGAACGTAAACGTTGGGATCAGGAGCAAGTCTTGAGAATTCACGAAGAAAGAAAGGGAAGAGGAGTGGGGGAAGACGGAGGTATTTATAAGGGTTCGTGGGGTTGGAATATCCAAAGAACTAGCCAAAAACCGTCGGCGAAATCATGGCCGCCACCATCACTCGGTGCAGTATCGAGTATTTCGTTAGGGTTCTGAGGAAATGACCTAACTGCAGGCGCTTTTGGCGGCTCCGCAACATCATTTACGTTTACGAGAGAGGGGATGCTATGTAAATCCAGTATTTGTTCATACGGAAAGGTATATTCCTCAGATGAAGAGAGATATTTCCCGAGCTGACTACTTACACAACGTCGAAAGCACGTTTACAAACTGGCGAACTTGGTGCAGAAGGTTTATTCACCCGCGGATTAACGTGGACTCTTCCGAGGAATCTTAGCCAATTCTCCACCATTACTGCCGCTATCCTCCTCACATTAACCTACGGTAGGCGCTTTTTGGCCGGCGGATCCGCCGTGGCGAGTGAATGAAGTTCACGCGCTTCAATGTTCAGTATAGCAGTCCATAAATGTCACACTGCTGTGATGTATCCTGCGTCCCTGTGCTCCGTTAATTATCCTCTTCCGCGTCAATTCTGCCGAGTCTTCTTCTTCCAATCAACTACCGCCTCGCGCATTTCCTCGTTTCCTCGTTTCCTCGTTTCCTCGTTTTCTTCCCGTCTTCGGCGACGACCACAGCATTGGACATCTTCGAATCAAATTTGCCGCATGATGGTGGAGGCAGTACGCTGAGATCCGGTTCTTGCGAACATATAGACTGGCATAAAATCTGATGGGGATTTACTGGCGCATTGACAGTAGCTAAAGCGTGGCCACAGGTTTACACATTCTCACTCAACCAGAAGTGGACTATCCCAGGCACTCGCTGGTTCGTTCATCATGTATTGCTTGTGTCGGCCCGAGGCGGATGGGCAGGGGAAGTGGGGCGCCGCATCGGACTGGTCGGTAACGGGTCTTCACCCCCGACCGGCCAGAGTGGGCAGGAAAGGAGTACGATCGTTCGCCATAGTCTAAATAGGCTGCATGCGAAATAAACCGAAGATCTTTCTCTATCTCTCTCTCTCGTTCATCATGTAAAACATTCGGGTTGAGAAGTGGACCGCCGTTTTCGGAAGTTGTGGTTAATATCCTACTGTACAGGCGGTTTTAACACAGTTGAAGCTACGAGTCCCGGTAGCTGGAACGAGATGGTATTTGAGCCCGTTGTGCGATCGAACCTAACTCTCGTAGGTTGTAGTTGGATTTCGCATTCGCGAAGAAAAGATCAAATAACAGGAGTATCTACCTAACATCGAACGACAGGATCTTAAGGAAGGTATCGTTCACGGACAGACGAGAAAGCACAAGATCTGGGGCCACAGAAACACTCTGTTCCGCGAAGTCGCCGACGAGCGGTGCAGCGAGGCAATGCTAGAGTTTCTAGGAACGACGGATGTGGGGAGGAAAGCTGCACCAGACCTGGAGGAGGTGTTGGAGGAGGAGGAGGCAAGCATTGCATCGGGGGCAGGGCAAGAGTGCCCAGTAGGGTTATTGTCACCCGCCTTGAGCTTTTGAGGCGAAGGGCGGAGCTCGGAGCTCGGATGTTGCAACATATACCTACATACTCTACCTAGGTATGTAGCGGGTAATGATGCTCAAACGACCGGGCATGCCGCCTCAGGCTCGTGCTACCTACTGAGTACTCTACATACAGGCTGCGCTCGCCCGTCCAGGCAGGATGGCAGAATGTCATCGGTGGCTTCCGAAGGTGGGGAAAGAATCTCTTCCAGGGCTGTCAACCGTCCGTCCGGACTACAGTCCCGGGCAGGCTTTCCAGAGGACTGATCCATTCCGTCCGGAGGATGAAATGCCCGGATACCCGCCTGGTACCTATAGGTACCTGATAGCACTAGCTTGCTATGCTGACTACTAGTTTGCGAAGTAGTATATAGCGCGGTGACTACCGACAGAATTTTCAGCCTGGAGCAGAATTTTCAACGTCGTCAAACAATCGACCTCAGGGGATAGACACTGCTGGAAGTAGGAACGGGGATGGTGTGAAAGTTCTATACCGTGAGAGAAACTGCGAAATGGAGCCGCACGGCCACACATCCTTACACCTGCGCCACTGTGTGGCGCCACGCCGCTTGCATTGTCCGAGTCTTCCAGTCAATTCCGGGTCCTGTGGGGTATCCGTCCTCATTTCTCCAGCCCGGAAGACTGTAGTCCACGGTCTCCTCAGCCCGACTAATTCTGTCCCAGGCCGGGTAACCTCAAAGACGGACGGGACGGACAGTTGACGGTCCTGCTCTCTTCGACCGTAGTGCAACAGCTATGACGGAGTATATATGAGGGATACCCGGAGTGCGGACGCTTTGACGTTGCTCGGTTGCGGATTCGAACTGGAGTGGGCATGAAGTACCGTGTGTACTTGGGCATGTCGATGCGCTGGAAGTGAGTGCGCCTCGTGTTCCGTTAGCCTCGGATATCATCATACTACTAGTAGGTACCAGCCAGCGAAGTGGCGAGGGTTTGTTAAAGCTGGGTGGTTACGTGTGTTTACTGGCCTGCGGACGTATCTCGGGCGGTGAATTCTCCGGAATGATAGCATGTGACCCGTGAGCGAAGCCGCGAAGTGCACAACATCAATGTTAGCATGTATCCACTAGTGGACTGCAGTCCGGACTGACGATTGACAGCCCTACTTCAGACGACGCCCGCATTGTCCTGAACGTTGCAACGCCGGAAGAGGCCGATAACCCTATCGGCTGAGTTCCGGTACGAACAGAATTAAGCAGGGGATTGCTAAGTGAGACCCACATCGGGTCTTCGATTCCGTCGAGAGACACATAGGAAGCTACCCAAGTCTCGAGAGAGGGTACAAACCACTTGTATCGCTCGCAACGCCGAAGGGTTCAACGGTTGCGTTTGTTCTACATACCGTGTGTTTCGACTGTCCACTATTGTTGGAGTGCACAACCCTTCTCCGAAGTTGCTGTACACAGCCCACAGTCCAGATTCCGGGCCACAGGTTCGGTGTGGACCTAAGCCTCGTACGTCACCCTCAGCGCCCTCCGCCTGGGGAAACACCGAGAAGTCATTTCGTAGCGCTTACGCCACAGCATGACTCAAATGGCGTTTGCAGCTGAGTTCCCCACGGCAAAGTTTTTCCGATCACGTGCTTGGTGTATGGGGAGATTGTATAGTCACTCAACTATCGTCACAGAAATCTCAACACCAGCTCAACCACAACACCGAACACTACCCTTGATACCCCCCAAGATCATTCCGCTGTGAATTATCGAAATCCCTGACTTTAATGATATACTCAATATGTATCAAGACTCCGACGTTCCAAACCTGCCCAGTCTCACACTGTAATCCTGAGATTTATAAGTTACCGCTTTCACCACAAGAAACGACTATGTCATCCACCAACATCGACATGCTTCGCCTGGGATACACACAGACGCTGGACTCTGCACTCTCCACCACACACACGGCCGGCGCAAGAATTGAAATCGTAAACCCCTTTGACAGGTTCATAACAATACTGCAACAATACCACTTTGTGCTGCAAAACCTCCGCCAGATGTACGCTGCATGCGACCAAATCTCCAACCGTAACGCCAGCCGCATGCGAGAAATAGAACGTAACTACGACCAGCTTTGCGAGGCTATAAAGTATCTTCACACAACCAACAGCGAAAAACAAAGATGCTACCAAAGGGCTCCGCACAGAGCTCGCAAACGCCGCCGACGCCATCCAAGACTTAAACAGCGACGTGTAGGCAGTATTCACGGAGCGCAGAAAGGATAACGAGATCAGGCAACAGAACAATAGCATAGCCCACGCCCGGCTCCAAAGCGCGATTATCTTCCTCTAAACCGTCCAGGCTGAGTAGATGAAGAACCAGGAAGACTACAATGGCAGCATCGACGTATGAGCGGAACAGAAGGTGAGAAGGAGCGACGAGCTCCACAAGCAGCAGGAGGAATTGAAGAGGCTTGTTAGGGAAAATGCGAAAGCCTTGAAGCAGGTGGAAATCCGCGCAGGAAAACAGAAAGAGAAGGTTCCGGAATGGGTCCGCACAGGCACAAGAGAAAAATCACGGTCTGCAGGACTGTGCATATTGGCTGTTTGCCCAGCGATGAATTTCAGTGGTTCAGGAACAGTTCTCCCTCCCTTACCTCCGAGAAATCCGGCCAGTAACCTCGGAGGTGACCACCAAGATCATGCATGCTCTGATGATGAAGACCCTCCTGCAAGAACGTAGTCTGTTCGCCGTGGAGACCATGTCGCTCTTCACGGGAATGCCGACCACGAGGACAACGCACAACGCTTTGTCCGCATCATGGCTGCGGCCCTCACATGGGCGAACGGAGGGTTTCACATACTCCGTCTGGGCAATCCCAACAACTTCCACAGTAAACTAACCACCCCTTGCAGACTGTGGTGGGATGCTGTGAATGAATACCTCGACTTCTACCCCAACATCGACGACGTGCAAGGCACCGCCTGCACGGGAACCCTGTTGAAACACGAAGCACGTGTCTGACATCAAGCACGGTGAGGAGCCTTACGTGGGCTCGACAATTGGCAGGCCTAACAGGAAGCTATCCGAGAGCAGTATCTAGACTCGAGAGAAGGCGCAGATGCTCTCAGCAAGATGTGCGCCTTGAGGTATAATAACGACATCATGTCATATCTCACTACCTTCTGTGTCACAGTTCAGAAATCCTTGCCTTAAGTAGCGACTGGGATGATGGCCGTCAGCCATCAAAATACTTTTTGGCCGAGTGGTATAGTACTTTCCCAGTGTATTTTATGACGGTAGTGTAACGGCACAGTCGGGCTGGGCTCCAGGCAGCGAAGACAGGTGGACAGATGGACGTAATCAGGCTGGGCAACGGCAAGGCGTGAGGGAAAACGAGGCAAGACAGGACTATGTGCAGACGGCAACTGAGAGAGAAGGCCAGAAACTGGAGCTCGGGCGCAGACGGCAGGCGAGGCGAGGACACAGGTAACTGTAACGGCACGGTCGGGCAAGGCTCCAGGTAGCGAAGTCTGGCGGGGGACCGGGCTCTGGGTATGGCACAAGCAACACGGGTTCAGAGGACAAGGTAAGGCAGGGCTCAGTGCAGACGACAACTGAGAACAGAGGCAGGGACAAGGACTACAGCGCAGACGGCAGCCGAGGCAAGGACAGAGGTAACAGTGATTAAATTAACAAGTTGTTACGTGAAGAACTAAATACAGAGCGGCGTCGGCCCGTTTATATAGGAAATCCTCTACTTCTTCCCGCAACCTGACAATGACCGTGGGCATGTGCCAGACCCTGAGAAATCCTCCTGGCCGATACCCCACTCTAGTGACTCACAGCCTGCGCTGCAGCGCTACCCCTGCTACCACTAC